CAGATCCATTAAATGTGGATGCATGACTTCCGAAAGACAAAAGCTTATTCTGCAATTTAAATATGACAGGCCAATTTTTAAAGAATTAATTTAAATGTGCGGATGTTGCATATTTAGGCTTTCTAAATAATTGTTTTAAAATGTATATTGTATCTGCAAAACTTATATAAACAGCGTAATTAATTATATTTATCATCTTATTAGGTAGATATATACAACATCATTAATTTTCAATAAAGACTGACCGATATAATGTTTTAAAATGTCTATTATCAGTATCATCTTACTTTTAAAATAGGTATTTTTTATAATCTTTTCTCAGTCGAAACAGAATAATCAAAATTTTAAGGAAATTTATAGCACGAGTAGCTCAAAGAAAATATGAATTTTAATAATCTGCCACTAAAATGTTGTGAATTTAATACATTTATCTGCGTCCACCGTTTTAAGGAAATATAATAATAGCCGACCCTTATTAACAATAGCCGATTTTTTTTTAATCCCTGTTAAGACTCTGACGGGCGTACTGTTGGTAAAAGTCTGGGGTGTTCGTATGAATTATTATTTTTTTTTATATATATATATATATATATATATATATATATATATATATATATATATATATATACGGAAAAAGCGATAAACGCCTGTAATCAACGCTGATCAAATAGAATACAATACTCCAATATTTGGGTGTGCAGCAGAAGATAGGACAAAAAAGTACTCTTTTTAGTTTACCAAGCTTTCGCAAATCTTTATTTGCATCATCAGGGTGCTACAATAAACATAATTAGTACAAGTTACAGAGTAAGAATTACTTTGTATCCTACACTAATTGAGGTTAGTTGTCTTGATGTTTATCAAATGAAATTGGCAACTCATTTGACCCCTACAAACGATAGCGAAAACTATCCAAAAATTTATTTTAAAAAGCGTTCTTTAACATACATATTTAAAACACATTTAAAACACATAAAGCGACGTTGGCCAACAGACCAGTAACATGGACCGGTGATTCTCTTACTGGAGGGGACCACATCACGCCAGAACCAAGGGACATGACCTAAACTCATCACATTAACTTATAGAATACATTGTTTTATTCTGATTGTTAATTTATTAGTTATAATAAAAAAAAAGTTCTAAACTGAGATGGTTATTGCTAAAAAATGACTTCATTTTTATAAAAGTAGTCTTAGTCATTGCTATTCTACGTTTTATTTCTATGTCTGGATCTAGTTGGTCCGTTATCACAGTTCCCAAATATGTCAGTTTGTGAACGTTCTCAACTTGGACTCCGTTCAATTGAAGGTTTGAATCGGAATGTCGGTCACGACTAAACACTAAAAATTTGGTTTTGTTTGAGTTTATTTTAATGCTTATTTCCTCTCCTACCTCGTGAATATGATCTAGCAGAATTTGCAGACCTTCAATATTATCTCATAGAATTACTGTCTAGTCTGCATATCTAATCACATTTAGTAGTTCCCCGTTGATTTTTATTCTATATGGTTGTCTCTCAAGTTCATTTTTAAATAACTGGTCCGAGTAAATATTGAACAATGTTGGCGACAAAATGCAACCTTGTCTGACTCCTCGTCATATGGGATATACGTTGTATCTTTGTTACTTCTTCTATAATTGCTCATATCCATTGTTTCCATTGTTTCCATTAAGATCATTTATAGAAGAATATATGATAAATGTGAGTCAAATATTGATAGATCGCAGTTTGGTCTTCGGAAAGCACTTGGAACTAGAGAAGCAATTTTCGCTCTCCAGGTGCTAATATAGCGGTGTAGAGGCGTTGATAAGGACGTGTATTTGTGCCTTGTAGATTTTAGTAAAGCATGTGACAATGTCAATCATAAACAATTGATAGATATTCTGCTAAAGACAGGTATTGACGACAAGGACATTCGAATTGTGACAATCCATCAGGTAGACTTTCTCTCCCAGTTTGTATGACTTTTTAATTTCAACATCTATTTCCAAATTATGTTTAATGAAGTTTTTCATTTCCTCTGTTAAAACACTTTGATCGTATGTATAAATTGCTAGTTCAGTTATGACAACATTGTTTTTTCTTCTTTGTTTTTCCATGAAGTCAACAATTTCCTTTATTTCATTTAACTCAATTTTAATTTCCATATTTTTTTCTTCATGTCTTTATTTTCATCTTTTAAAGTCTGGTTATCATTACCTCTGCTTTGGGTTTTTCTCATGCATGGTTATCTATTTAATAACACTTGCCAGGTTATTCATCCAGGTATTTTTTTGTAACAATTTTAAACTCTGAAAATCTGAAGACAAACTGATTTACCACACACTCATTTTATATTTTGAATGCAAAAAATGTTGTCATGACATATTGGTTGTACATATACTTAATTTATAATAATTTTTACTGTAAAATGGGTTGAAGAGTTCTTAAAATTACTGGAAGTACTTTTTTAAACCATCACCTTAAAATATGTTTTGTATTCGAAAAAAATATTTTTAAATGCCCATTTTATGGACCATGTAAATAATAATATAAGCATACACATCTGAAGCATCTACAATTTTATTACTCCGTAGCGAATGCGAAAACACTATAGACTTAAATCACGTACGAAAAAAAGTGGAACACATTAACAAAAGCATGCACTGTGTCTGCATAAATTGCACTGTGTCTGCATAAAAAATAAACAGAAAAGTTCTAAAAAAATACTATATTTAGTGAAAACAACAAATACTTAAGACAATACCTTTTTAAAATACATACACCAATGAACATTTATTAGCTTTTATTTATTTTTATTCAGATTATTTATTCCGCAGCCGCAGGAGGACATCCTAATTTGTCTCAATTCTCTAACAGATCCCTGATCAGTCGTCTGCGTTGTCTGAATAGCACAGTAATTTATATTGAGTAAAAAAATAAGTCCTCAATCGTTACAACATCCGCTTACGTTATATATTTTACTGCACTCATTACTGCCCGAAAAATACGTTTTTTTTGGACTTTCTTAACATTTATCTGCAATTTTGACATTCAGATGTAGAACTAAAATCATAGATGCAATAAAGTAAGTGACAGAAATGCCGCTTATTATATCCACAAGACATCGGCTCCTCAGGAGAGTGTCAATCCACCGAAGATCCATAAACTTCTATTTTAATGAAAGAACTGAATATAACTAGACGACTAATTTAAGTATTTACACTATTAGATATTATCTATTACCTAAAGGAATTACAATAAGTGATAGTTTTTAGCAAAACCTTTTTATTTGAATACATATCTTATCTACTTATTGAAGGTTCTCGCCGTCGTAATATTCGGGATTATCATCATCTTTGGCTCGACATTCCTCTGTGGATCTTGGCCTGCTCTAAGATTCGTCGCCATTCTGTTCGATTTCTGGCAACATGTTGCCATCTTCTGATTTTTAATATCCGTAAGTCGGTTTCAACTCCATCTAACCACCTAATTCGCGGTCCGCCTTTGCTTCTTCTTCCTACAGGTGTTCCTGTGGTTAGCTTTTTAGCAATCGTATTTTCTGGCATTCGTATTATGTGTCCAGCCCATCTAATTCGCTGTGTTTTAATGAACGTTATGACATCTGGCTCATCAAAGAGCTGATACAATTCAAAATTATATCTTCTGCGCCACTGCCCTTGGTCGTTTATAGCTCCAAATATTTTGCGGAGTATTTTACGCTCAAATATTTCCAAAAGTCTTTCATCTTTCTGCGTTAGAGTCCATGTTTCTGCTCCATATGTGTGGACCGGCATCAGCAATGTTTTGTATATAATAATTTTAGTTCTTCTTTGAACGTTTCTTGAGCGGAAATGCTTTTGGAGTCCATAGTATGCCCTATTTGTAAGATTAATTCGTCTTTTGATTTCTTCGCTTGTTTTATTGGTAGCAGTCAATAGCGACCCAAGGTATGTGAAGTTGTCAACTCGTCCAAAGGTATGACTTCCAAAGACTGTTTCTCGTTCCTCATTTGCTATTTGCAATATTCGTGATTAGCAACCTCAAAAACCATGAGTAATGACGTTTGACTGATTTCGAATAAAAATAGCATAAAACTCCAGGAGACAAGGTCCACACTGGACTCTAGGTAGCTCGAGGATCCTCGCCGTTATAATATTCGTATTGACAGACCTCGGGAACCTTCCAAGTAATGAACTTAGACTAATTTCAAATTAAACTAACATAAAACTCCAGCAGACAATATCCACCCTGGGCACCAGGAAGCTCAAGGACCATCGTCGTTATCATATTCGTATTTAGCTACCTCAAAAACCCCTGACAACAAAATTAAACTCATTCTTGTCGATATTTTCTTAGCAGCAAATTTTTCATTTTCTATATAATTTGAAAATGTATTTTTCTTGTGCACAGAATGCAATTTTCACTTTATCACCATGAATTTTCTTCACAAACTTTCACCACACTCCCCGAATCGAATGCAAAAAGGTGCACAGCGATTCATCTTGGTGTGGAAAATTGGTAGGTTCAGTGCTTCGTTACCTCGCCTAATCTTAAATCTTAATTATATCTAACCAACAAATTTTACAAAAATAACAACAACAGTTAGTTATGACTTGACTATTGAGGTTACAAAAGCGATCAGAAAGTAAAATACCTCAACCTTTTTTAATTTAAATCTTTTTCTCTAATATTATCCGAACATAAACAAAACATCAATAAAACCAACAAAAAATTAGGCAAATTAGCCGCATATCGATAATTCAGCTAACGGTTCCCTATGGCTTAAGCAAGCTGACTTAACTGACACCAAGTTGACCTAGATCCTCTTTAGATGCACATTACGATGTTGTGGAACAGACACACGTAGCTGGGTGAAGGTCGTTGAAATTCCGATTTCCTTCCAATGTTCCGTTAGGATTTATGTACCGGAAAGAAGTAAACAAATAGTCCGGTGAAGTATGTAAACCAAATGCAAATCAAAAAGTGTTACACGTCGTGGTTTTAATAAGAAATTATGAGAAGAATATCTTTTTTCGAACAAAACAAATATATTACTCTTCAAGATATGTAAGTATTTCTTAATAAACTGCGCAAACTAAAATAAAAAATTTGATATAAAAAATGATGAGCATAATGATGAATACAGCCACATGAAACATTTCTGGTTTCATCAAATATCTCTTTTGGGACAATCACACCACATCCAATCTCTAACAGAATTTTCAAAATACAATTTGTAATAAATTAAGAATGCTACCTTTTCCGAAATTTCTTGTCTCGCTTATATGTACAATTACAACATCAAAATACCTTAAATAGCAATGGAATATGAAAGATTTTATACTATTTTAACATCTATTTTATCTAAGACTAAGATCTACAACGAACAAACAATGAAGAGAAATTATATTTTACAAAACTTCTTGTGAATACAAATATTGTTATTTTTATCTATTTATGCCTCAAACTCAAGGGGTCATTGATTGGCGTAGTAGAATTTAAAGTTTTACAATTTATTTAGTACATTTATGGAATATAAGTATGATGGCCAATTTTTCATATTAGTTCCGTCACTTAATATTGCTTGTAAGGTATTTTGTAATTTGTATTGAAGTCTCTTCATACAATATAAAGGACACTTCAGTAAAATATGGCTAACATTGAGCACAATATAATATACGTAGTAGCACTGTGCTTCTAATTCACTCTCCAGCAGATGTTTATGGGTTATGGCGGTGTGGACTATTCTCAGACGAGATAGAATGATTTGATGTAAACGCTTATTTGGTGTTGATTTCTAAGGAATTATCGAATGTTTTACTTCGCGTAGTTTGGATGTTGATTGATTGCACTTGGTCTGTCAAGCATTAATTACTAAGTTCTTGATTATAAATATTACATTTAGATGTAGAATGCTTCTGGTTTCTGTAGCTGCCGGACTCCTGACTACTAGTTTTGCCAAGGAATCTACGTTACAAGCAATTCCGATTGTAAAGGAATCCATACAAAGTTGACATTTATGTTCATAGTTTGCATTTGGTTTAATACTGATTTAATAAGTAGTAGACTTGGATGGCTAGGATATAAGTTATCTAAGGCAGTTACAAAATTTTATTTTATTATTTTATTAAACATAAATATTGCTCCCACTTTCTCTATATTTCTAGAGGCATCGGTATAAATATATAAGATTATTGTTACTGTGAGTCTTGAGTTCTTGGAGGACATATTGATATAATGCTTTGGGATGGTTATCTGCTTTTTATGGAGAGTTTGGGATAAATAGTTATTATGGAAACGGTCAAAACAATATCAAGAACAGATTTGACATTTGGTAAACAATCTGAAACAAAGTATCTGAAAATTTGAATTCAAGTTCAATGAGGTATGTATTGACCCTTTCATATAAAGAAAGGTAAAGCCTAGCATGCCTTGTAAAAATATTCCTAGAACGTTCGGAATTTACGTAGTGGTTAACAGGATTCATAGCATTTCCCTGTATTGATACCGCATGTGTTAGTGAAAGTTGTTTTGTTCAAAATTCCAGAGGGACTTCTCCAGCTTCATATTATAAACTTTCAGTAGAACTAGTATAAAACACACCTAGCATAGAAAAATTGCTATTTGATCATCTGCATCCAACAATCCCTCAAATCTCACCGGCAATAAGTTCTTATAATATATTCTAGTTTGTTTTGTTTATATTGTTGATAAAAGAAACTTTTGTTTCTTTTATCAACAATATAAACAATATTAGACTGAACATGTCCCTCTTATTTTATTGTTCTTTCAACGTTAATCGTTGGTGATAATTTTGCATTTATTTCTTTTGTTCCGATGACTCTGATATATGTAACAATAAAACACTGAAAACTTTGTTTTCAAACTTCCACAAAATTTATTTTGAATCTTATCACTCTGATATATCTTTTGACTCTGATATACGGAATTTTTACTATTTTATTGTCTTTTGAATAATTTGTAAACTATATAATTCCATAGAGTTCCGCATCTGATTTTTCTTTCAATTATTATCTGAGTTCCCTTTTTGTTATTTCAATATATACTTTTTCTACAGTAGATAATTTTCAAATAATATTATGAAAAGACTTTTTCATAAAATTTTTTTTATGAAAACCGTTTTTCTGTCATTTTAAATAGATAGTCTAATATAACTAATAGATCGCGTCATACTATGATTAATAAAGGAAGCTGGATTGACAAAATAAATGTCAGCGTTGATAGACTGGGCAACAGCCATACCACACTGAATATACCGGTTCTCGTTCGATCACCGAAGTCAAGCAGCCTCGGTTGCGATTACGGTACTTGCATGGGTAACCGCTTGGGAACATTGCATGTTGTTGCCATGTGAAACCTTCCTTCTACGAAATGGTTGGACCGATTTGTATGAAATTTTACGTGTGTATTCTGTAGGTCTGAGAATAGGTTGTTATCTATTTTTCATATTCCTTAGGAGTAAGGGTGGTTCAACTCAATTTTTTTTTTGTGTTTTTTAAACAAAATTTGTTATTTTTATGTTTTTATGATATGACAATAAAAATACATACAGCTCTTAATATTCACCACTTTATTTCTAACCATTTTTTTTTAATATTCATATTAGTGTCACAGAGTTAGTTGCATTACTTCTCCGAAATAGCTGAACCAATTTTTATAAAATTTTACATGTGTATTCTGTAGGTCTAAAAATAGGTCGCTATTTTTTATACCCCTAAGGGGTAAGGGTATTCACCCTAATTTTTTTTTTATTTTTTAAACAATTTTTTTATCTTTACCTTTTTATGATGTGACATTAAAAAATACATACAGTTTTTCTGTACGTTTTACCTAACTCCTTTTTATAGACATGTTAGTGTCACAGCGTTAGTTGCCATACTCCTCCAAAATGGCTTTACCTTTTTATGCAATTTTACATATATATTCGGTAGGATAAGGAAGGTTCACCCCAAACATATTTTTTTTTTTTTTTTTAGACAAAATTTTTTTAGGTAGGCATGAGAACAGATCATAACATAAGGGGTAAGATATTTCCCGTGCTTTTGACAATTACAATAAACATATCTCAAAGTCAATCGTTATTGAATATTGGAAGTTTTAGGAATTAACTTAGAGTATCCATGTTTCGCGCATGGGCAATTATTCTCCTGTCGGAAAACCGTCAACGTTGTATATATATTTTACACAAAAAAAATATTTTTATCAGAAAGCATTAAATTGATTTAACTTTTGTATGCATAATGTGTTTGAGAGTTTTTTTTTTGGTGTTATTTTCTGTTAATTTTTTAGACACTTTATTTCATTCCAAGTCGGTACAAAATTCGACGCTAGTCGCTAGTATATACATAATATATTCTCTTACCAGTACCTCACTGCACTATCGACTTCTAGCAGCAATTTTTAATCTACTTTTTCTAACTACTTTAACATCTCTTCTGGATCACCTACACCTACTGGTTTTCTTATCTTTGATATTGCTTTTACTCCTTCGAGATATTTAAAGTTAATTGTTTTTGTGTTAATTTGTATTTTCGAGTTGTTTTTGTGCCATATGGCCATGCCTTTCCTTTTTTCCATATAACTTTCTATTATAATCCATAATTATTTAACAGTACTTCCTAAACTATCATCAAATTATTGGTGGCTACTCAAAACTACTTCATGTTAGGATAATAAAAACATTAAAATGTATCTCAGAATTGTAACCGTTGCAAAAATTTGTTGCATCCAATAATGAACATAAAGTGCAATGGAAAATTTCCATTATTCAAATGTGTTAATATTCAATAAAGTTACTTTAAAAATCTTAGTATACATAATTCTGAGATGTATATCAGATATGGTAGTATGTATCTCTAACGCCTTATCTATTACATAGAAATAAAACAAAATAAAACAGACTTTTCCAATGTTAAAAAGGCATAGAGGAATGAGATATAAATTATTTGCTTTTTATATGTTTGTTTTTGTATTTTGACGAAACAGGAATTTTGATAAAACACCAATTAGTTCCAATGTTCTATTGCGAATTTATTACATTGAAAATTATATCACTCTTTTTCTTACAATATTAAATAATATTTATTGTTTCAGAATGTATAGAGAAGCAGTAGGATGGGCTTTTACCGCTCTTTTGGTTTCCAGTTCTCTAGTAGGCACGTTCTCTTATCCAAATGTCCAAATTAACTCCAGGCCAGTATCTTCTGACGCAGCTGAATCACCGTTAGAAGCACGTAACTTCTATCCAGTAAAAGGCCCCAGAGACCTGCCACAATTCCAGAGAGCGGAAAGAAAATTCGCAGAAAAACCAAATGCAATTAAAAAAGTGGCTTTAGATCGACTGGATGATGTCGAAAGTAATTCCATTGGAGACAGCAGTGATAATGGTCTTGCCAGTGGAGGAGGATTCTCTTGGTCAAATCTTTTAGGTAAGATGGGTTTATTAAAGGAACAAGTTACGTTGAGCAAGCTTCTTTGATATTGCTAAGTGTAGTGTTTTCACTCCGGAAATACTAGTGTCTTCCTAAAGTAGAAAATATGTCTTCTAATCTTTTGAACCGAAAGAACTGTTGTTGCAAGTTTTCTTTACTTTCGTGAATATGGAAACATCACAATCTTATCTCTGGTAATGGCATAAAGAGTTATTGGTTGTATTCTGCTCTGGTTTAACGTGTTCGATTTTCTCATTATAACTATGTTAAAACTGTTTGTATACATATCCAGATTTTTTATAATATAATAGTTACCTGCTCATTTTATCCTTTTAAATAGCTACCTGATTCCTCCCTCTGCTAACAGTTTCAATATTAATTTTAGTGTATGGTGGACCTGTTTTGTAGAGTAACTTTCCACATTTTCACTTGTAATTTAGTGCTTGAAGTTTATATTTTAGTCAATATCTTAAGAAGTGCAATCTCACAAATATCACAAATTTAACTTAGTATATATGAGTCATATATGATTAGTCATATTAGCCGATTTTCTTCAACTTTGACTCTTCTTTTGTTGAAATATCATTTCATTTCTTTTTAGATTGACTGGCGTCTCTTTTCCTGATCGGTAACTTGTTTGAGGTTATTCTACCTGTTCTGTTTCCTGCGTTTTTAATAAGGTGTCTATTCCATTTTTCCTTATTCTTCTTATTAGACAAAGTGCCTGTTTAATCTTCGGTATTTTCTTAATAATTACATAAGCATTTTTAAGGTGGTTATTTACATCCAATTAAGAAAAAGAAGAAGAAGAAGTAGTAGAAGAAGATTTACACCCAATTCTTCTTTGCCATATTGGTGCTTGTTCTATTATTTGATTTATAATCTTGAGTTTGAACTTCAGTAATATTTTCGTAGTGAACTCCTTTACCTTGATGTTTAAGTGATTGTATTCTTTGTAGAGCGTATTCAGTACTTACAATACATTCAACTGCGTCATCTGTATAACGCGCCATACTTACTTCATTTTTTCGGTTTTGGTATCATTTTTGCTTCATACTTTGTTTTTCTTCTCCTTCAGTATTAGATCGAACATTAGTGAACTCAATCAGTATCTGTATTTAGTTTCATTTGTTAGATTGTTTTTCTCTTTATTTTTCTTTATTTTTATTGGCTTCAAAATCATCCTTTAATCTTTTTCTGGGCGGCCTACTGATCTTTTACCGTCTGATATCTCAAAAACACTGCCTGTAGCATTCTGTCTTTGTCTGATCTTACCACATGACCTGCCCATCTTATCCCGTTAGCTTTTCAGACTGACGATGTTTTCAGTGCCATTCTTCTTCTTCAAGTGCCCTTTTCGCTACGGAGTTTGGCAATCATCATTGCTATTCGTGTCTTTGAAGCTGTTGCTTTAAATAATTGGTTAGATGTGCATTGGAATGAGTCCCTTAAATTGCGCAGCCAAGATATACGTCGTCTCCCACGCTTCGTTTGCCCTGAATCTTTTCCTCGGATAATTAACTGGAGCAATCGGTACTTTTTCCCTCTCATCACATGACCAAGATATTCCAGCTTTCTTCTCTTGATGGCGATCAACAGCTCCCGTTCTTTGTTCATTCTTCGAAGAACTACACTATTTGTTATTTTGTCTGTCCAAGGTTTTTTCAAAATTATTCTATATATCCACATTTCGAAGGCCTCTAGTTTATCTATATTGCTCTTGTTTAAAGTCCAAGTCTCTACTCCGTACAGCAGTATCGAAAAGATGTAGTAAATCAATCTCATTTCCAGGTTTAGGTTAATGTCATGACTTCCCAGAATGTCCTTTATATTAACAAAAGCAGCTCGAGCCTTTCCAATTCTAGTTTTTATTTCTTCTGTGATATCATTGTTGTTATGAACACTTGTTCCCAAGTATTTATATTTGTGAATGTACAGGTTTGCATTCAATCTTTGTTTTTTTCAAATAATCATGAATTTCGTCTTCTTGACATTCATTGTTAACCCTTTCTTTTCACTAGCTGTGACTACCTTGTTTAAAATGGCTTGCAGGTCTTCTGCTGTCTCCTCCATTAAAACCGTATCATCTGCGTATTTAATATTAATAATTGATTGGCCGTTAACTTTTATTCCGCCAATGCTTTCTTCATAATTTCTTCCGAATAGAGATTAAATAGCATTGGTGACAGCACACATCCTTGTCTAACTCCTTTTTTAATTTGAATTTTATTTGTTGTGCTATTTTCGATGCGTGTAACTGCCTTCTGATTATAATACAGAGTAGATATTATTCTTATATTATTCTTCTAGAGAAGTACCAAAACAACGCGTCTCAATATTGAAATCCTCAAAAATCCGCAAACAGTAGAAAGGTTTCAAAACTATATCAAAATGGGAAATGTAAAAAATAATATTAAAGAGGCAGCAAATAATATTCTAGGGCCAGAAAGACCACCACCACGTAATGACTGGTTTGATGCTGAGTGTGAGGACATTACAAGAAGAAAGAACGATGCATATAAACTGATGCAGCAAAGAAGAACCCGAGAAAAACAGCAAAATATAAAAGATCTCAGAAAAGAGAGAAGTGCATTCATAGAAGGAAAAATGGAACTCACAAAAACAGAATATTGGAAGAACTTGAGGTATTAAAAAAGGAAAACCAAACAAGAAAATTCTACAAAACTCTGAATAACGCAAGAAAGGAATTCAAACCAAGGCTCAGACTATGTATGTACAAAAGAAGAAGTACTGAAAAGGTGGTGGAACACTTTAAAGAACTACTTACTATAGAAGTAGAAGATCCAGATCCAAATCAACCACCCGGAGGAGCAAGCAACAATTCACCATTAGAGCCTCCGTCAATTCAAGAAGTACGAGATGCAATAAAACACCTAAAAAACAATAAATCTCCAGGAAGTGATGGTATAACCCGCGGAACTTATTAAATGTGGAGGTGCTGCTGTGACTAATCAAATATATAAAATAATACTGAGAGCCTGGAATGAGGAACAAATCCCGAAGAGTGGTGTATTGGAATCGTTTGCCCGCTACACAAAGAGGGTGACCAATTGGAATGTAGAAACTATAGGGGAATAACCCTCCTTAATACAGCATACAAAATATTTTCGAGGATCATATATATGGTCGCCTAAGTACATATTCAGAGGAACTTCTCGGGGAATATCAAAGTGGCTTTAGGCCTGGTCGATGAACAACAGATCAGATCTTTGTGCTAAGGTAAATACTGTAAAAAACCAATGAATTCAATATCGATACATACCATCTTTTTGTAGACTTCAAATCTGCCTATGATAGTGTCCTAAGAAATAAATTGTATGAAGCAATGAATGAATTTCCACATCCCGATAACTGATAAGATTAGTTAAGGCTACAATGCGTAATGTAGTTTGCAAAGTCGAAATACAGGGCGAACAATCACAGGCGTTTGGAACGCATGTTGGGCTGCGACAGGAGACGCGCTGGCGTGTCTCCTTTTCAACATAGCACTGGAAAAGGCGATCAGAGATGCCCGAATAGACAACAGAGGAAATATTTTTAATAAATAATCCTAAATTTTGGCATATGCAGATGATGTGGACCTAGTTGCCCGCACAACACGCAAGCTAGAAGAATGTATACCACCTTCTCAAATGCCTCAAAATCTGTGGGCATGCAAGTAAATGAGGAGAAAACTAAGATGATGGCATCAACACCCAACAATAGAGCCAGGAACATCGGTCCCCAATTCACGGTTGATAACTCTACCTTTGAAGTGGTTGACAAATTCACATACTTAGGCTCCCAAAGCTGATCACCAAAGAGAACGCCATAACGGAAGAAATCAAGCGAAGGATAGTAATGGCAAACAGATGCTATTTTGGACTGAGTAGACATATGAGAAGTAGAAACTTAAGCCAAAAAACAAAAATAACTATATACAAAACCCTTTAATAACTATATACAGCCAGTGTTGGCATATGGATCGGAGACATGGACCATCTCCAAGGCAGACGAAGACCTTTTACTTATATTTGAACGAAGGATCCTGAGAGGAATATTTGGTGGCATCTGTGAAATTGGTGTTTGGAGGAGGAGATACAACTACGAGGTATACCACAGATATAAACAAATATTTGGTGGTAAAGACGTAGTATCTCTTATAAGAATAGGAAGACTAAGATGGGCAGGACATCTAGCAAGATCACAGCAGAACAACCCTCCTAGAAGAATCCTTATGTCACAACCTGTGGGAAGTAGAAAAAGGGGTACGCCAAAACTCAGATGGAAGGATGGTGTAGATGAGGATGGTAGAAAGATAGGCGCAGCAAACTGGCAACGGTTGGCAATGGATAGAAACTGCCTGGCGTAATAGACTTGGGAAGGTCGAGGCTCTTTCATAGGGCTGTATCACTATTGATGATGATGATTTCTTCTTAATATTATTCAGTGCCATACAGAGTCATTAATTCAGCATTGCGGTACCTTCTCTACTCTCCTGTCAGTGCATCTCTTTGAGGGCCAAATATCATTCTGAAAACTTTCCTTTTAAATACCAGCAGCTTAGTTATTTCCCCCTGATGTAAAGTCCATGTTTCACTTTCATATGTAATAACTGGGCGAATAATTGACATGTATAGTCTTAATTTAGATTGTCTTTTTACCACCTTAGATCTTAATACTGATGAAAGGAAGTATAATGCTCTATTTCCCGCAGCTCTCCTTGCTGATACCTCTTTTTCTGTGGTTTTCATCTGTGATTACCGCCCCCAGATATTTAAACTCTTTTTCTACTTCAATGTTCTGTCTAACTCTTGATCTTGGATTTTTTGTTAGTAGCTTGTATTTCGTCTTTTCTTCATTTATTCGATGACCCAGACTATCTGTTTCCTCCTTAAGTTGTAAAAACTTAAGATGCAACTGCATCTAGATAATCTGTAAAGGCCTACTTATTGCATACTCTAAGACTAAATTAAATAGCAACGTTGGTAAGGGGT